TAAGGCCGCCTCCATTGCAGGTGGAGGAGGGTGGGTTTATTCTCTCATGTAACGGCGATGTTTTCTGTTTCACTGGGTGCATAATACGTTTAAATATTGGGCAATTGTGAACGAGCTTATTCCGCTATTCGGCTCGCAAACCAAAGAGTGGCAAATAAATACATAGACAGACGCGTTTGCACTGAGGAACTTACCACCCCTCCCCCGTTTTAAATTGCAACGCGTTATTGCAAGAAATTGGTCTTACATTGCACACAAGAAAGCAGATGTTTCTTAGGCCACAGCCTTCCTACTACGTCTTCTCATGAAAAGTATTTTTTCTCTCAAAATCAAGTTAATACCAACCTGAAGATTACTACAATAACGGAGGGACACACCTTTACCTGTCACCGACTGCTTCCTCCTTCTGCTAAGAAGCTAAAGCAGTCGTTGGATAAAGCGATTGAGGTAGAGGGAGGAGGATTTATCGAAAATGCAGTAAGTCGCCTTTTCTTTTGCGATAAATCATGAACAATAGCAATATCTTGCTCATTGACGAAAGAAAGTTTTTTATTTGCAGTGGATCATAAAAATCATAACAGTCAACCGAAATGGCGTGTGATGCCCACTGAAAAACTCCAATGTACGAAGCACTTGCCACAGAAATCTAGATCATTCTTATTTCGCCTGTATTTTGTGGAATCAGAGAATGGAATGTTTCACTGAAGGTCATGAGCTACCATATTAGCCTTCTTTTCTAATTAATAAGGAGTCGTTTTGGCACTGCACATCTCAAAAGCCCTTCAAAATATTGTGATTATTGGTAGACGTTTTTGACAAGAGATATGGACCTTTTTATACTAATTGTATTTGCTACGATAGAAAATTCACATTATTGAGAGCAGTTATGATTTAGCTACTGTTCTTACCTACCGTCACATGATTGGCTAGTTCGTAATTAAATGCGCTGCCTATTTGCTTCTTTGGACACACCCTGATTTTGTATTTTCACAGAACAAACTGGATGCATCAGATGAAAAGAGTTCCGGTTTTGAGGAGGGAATGACGCACTTCACAACCTACTTTTCTGCCAATCTGAGCAATGGTGTCTGTCTAGCACGTACTTTTGACACTGGCAATACATCACCGGAAGCGGTCAAAGTAAGTCTATTCCGTCCTGAGACGAGATTGCGAACTCTCGGATTAAAGCAATGGGTGTATAAGTGATATCTGTTGGTCGCCAGTGTGTGGGTTTGTGTGTAAAAAATTATTTTGGAATGTTTGCCCCAAAATGGCCGCGTGCTAATTGCGCTGGAACAACAGGGAGGTTAGATTAGGGCATGGCAGGTGTTATTCGGATTGCCCGCCCATACCAAATTCCGAACGTGGGGAGGGCGTTGGTGGCATGCGTAGGTGCAGGCTCATGCCACAGCAAATACCTATGGCCTTTATGGCACTTCGACTCTGTGGGATCAGAGTCAGAATTGGCGGCTCCGGTCGCGCCTGCCAACTGCGCCCAATCATGTTCCCAGTCTTCTTGACTCTGCCTTGACACGGGACACAGATGGGTGAGGAAAGAATGTGTGTGGTAGCTGCAGCGCAAGTCTACTATCATTTAGAATTCATCCACGCGCAAATCACCATCCCTGCACCATTATTTTGTTGAGCACATGGTGGACTTCCTAGGAATTGATGACCGAACTATCAGTTAGGGCCGTGACTACCACAAGGGGTCACGCTGTAGATGCGATTGGACCAAACGGGAGAAAACCTGGATAAAGATCTGTGTACAGCCGACTGCGTAGAATTAACGCAATATGTGGGCGGGGCTGTGGTGATAAGCCTGGACGTTGGCCCTAACGCCGGGACAGCCGATATGTCCAATCAGATTAACGGCTGGTTGCCAGGCTCGGACAGTTGGTGCATAAAAGAGAGAAGAGACAACAAGGTTGACACTGCGAATCAGAGCATTTCTCTCTATAATATATAACGCGTCTTAATCTATCATGAGGCGCCAAGAGTCGGGACTTGGTAGGTTGCCAATTGACGGTGTACCTTAGTCTTTCTCATGTTTGCGAATCAGGCTACAATGCTTCCTTAATGAGGCCTCTACGACACGGTCATTGACCTGAGATCCGAACGGTTCTCATGAAGGCCTGTTAAATGCTGTGGAAATAAGGCTGTTAGTGGGCTGCTTATTCATATTGCGGCCTCTACGGCACTTTCACTCGGGTGGGATCCAAACTGACCTCGTAACTGCATGATAGCTTTATGTAGAGCGAACTAGGTCCCGTTCGACACACGTTAACAGACTGTTTACAGTTGTTCCCCACTACAACCGAGCCTGCCTTTACTTATCCTGTGATTGTGTCATTATCCGATGCAAGGGAGCTGGGACAGGAGAAAATTGGGCAAATACTGCACAAGCCTGTCGCTCTTTACACCAGTTCGCGTGCAAGTAACTGATGCTGCGATCAATCTGTAGTGCGCTTACGATGTATGTCATCCATTATAACAATCGCGCTGTACTCGTCGCAGTTGAAAGAAACGCATTGCCGTTGTTCTTAAAAAAGACGGCGTGTGTGGTCTTATCTTGACTGCGTCTGTAACAGCCAAAGGACGGCACGAATTCAATGGCAAATTAGTCATGTCTGAGTGTATTGATAATAAAACAGTATGCCAAAATAAGATCTTTACCCAGGGTAGAGCATACTGACTTGGATGACTTGTTAATTCTAAGTTGCGCTCACTTGCTTGCGGTCCGATAATCGTTACAGACGACCCAATGGTCCACCTGCCAAATAATGGCTTGGTTCACTTGTGTGGAGGGCAAGGCAATATGTCGACTGGTTGAACGATCAGCTGACAGGCGCGTTTCCTGAAACTGTCGTTCTGTTTCAGCGCTCTCCTACGCGTCACCTCCATCATGTTAAAGTTGAAATCGTGATCTTTTTGAGTGAAGTGGATTGTCACTTTTGAGTTTGTATTAACCTGAAACATCGACCGTTGGTGTTCATGCATTCATGTCCTTCTCACTCGAATAGCAAAAAGACTTGAGCCGCGAACTCACGGTCTGTAGACTATGATTGTGAGCGGTCTTTTGGGGTGGGGTTGATGATCTGGACAGAGTACAGGCCCGAATAAATGTGCTCCAATTTGATTTGGAGGTCCTCTCTAGAACCTCTGCGGATACTCTTGATAAGCCGCACAACTATTCATCGAAAAGTTGTATCGAAAAAGACAAGGATGTCTGGAACAAATGGTATTGGTTTATTTGCTGCTATCAATCAAGCACATATCT